CGGCGCCGCTCACTCGCTGCCTGCAGGACCCCCCGCGCCCGGCGGTACTACCGCCATCTTAACTAAGGGTGCCACACCCGGAAGTATCTGCCTCGCACCCTGGCGCCGGAATTAGTCCTGCCCGGTGAGGCCGCGGATTGGCTGGGCCCGCGGGTGGGCAGGGCCGAGAGGCTAGGTCAAGGGGTTAAATGAGGGGCGGGAGGGGTCTTGGCTGGGCGGGAGTTAGAGGTCCATGTTTAAAGCTCAAGGATCATAGGTGTGTCCCTGATAGGTTCGTTGAGGTTAAAGTGCGGTGCAGCTGGGAGGGCAGCTAAGGGTCAAAGGTCAGGGGTGACAGAAAGAGGGGGCTAGGTGTAACCCTACTAGGGTAGGGGCGGGATGGGGAGGCCTGCGTGGGGTCATGTTCTCAGGGGTGGGGCCTGTAAGCTCTGTATGAGGTCAGAGCTCCTGGTTTGGTTGGGGCTGGGAGCCCTACCTGGGGTCAGAGTTCAGGGACCCTGGGTTTTTGTAGTGGGGACTGTACCTCATCTCATGTCCTAGGGGGGTAGAACAGGTCACAGCCCAGGGTCAGATGAGCCTTGGGTTCAGTGTGGGGGCGGGGCTACAGTTGGGTCTGAGCCCCTTCCACTCCCCTGTCCAGGCTGGAGCAGTCCCAGGCCCCAGGGGTGAGAGGCTGAGACCTGGCATCCATGGGTAGCGTAAGTGGGGAGGGGTTAATGGGGATTAGCTTCCCCAAATGCAGGGCATTGGTAGGGCCTCAAGGCAGCCCAGCGGAGGGTTCGGGGCTATGGAAGAGGCAGGTGCTGCACAGCTGGCAGGCATGGGACTGAGCTGTGAAGTGACTCATCCAGAGAGTGCTGGAAGGAGGCTCCTATTTTACAAACTGGCTACAGTTAAAGAAAAAAGTTGGAGACCGCGCCATGCATCAGGCAGGGTTAGGGATGGGGGTGGGCAGGGATTCAGTCTGCCTTGGGCTGGTGAGGGTGAGGAGGGGCTCCTTCCATTCCCAACAGGGTCGATGGGGTGACTGGGGCAGATCAGGGTGGGGGGAGGGGCTGGGCTGCCAACCCGAACTCCTTCTGGGCCATGGCCCTGCAGCCCTCCCTTCTTCCCCTCCTCATGCCCCCCCATCTCCTGAAGGACAGTGCTGAGCACCTGGCACTGTCCCTCCAGCCCTGGGGTCCCAATTGGTGCATTCATAGGTAGAGGAAGACAAAATTATTGCGGGGGGGGGTTGCTGAGCAAGTGCGTGCATGCACCCTTTCTCCCCCCTGCCCATCAGGTAAGTCTGTGGGGAACGGGCTGGGGGGGGTACATGGAGGCCCCCGTGGTGAGAGAGAGTACGGGGCAGGGACGGGTGAATGGGGGCCAGGCCAGGCTGGGTGGTGGGACAAATCGGAGCCTGGGTGGCTGTTCTAGGAGTGGGGGGAGGGGGGGTGGAAGGGGGGGGGGCTCCTGCTTCTGTGTGCACCCTGGGGGAGGCCTGGGGGCATGTACCCCCTCAATCTGTGTGTGCAGTGGAGGTGGATGTTGCTGCTGCATGTTGGGCGTTGCATGTTGCTGCAGCTGCCTCAAGAGCTATGCGATGCCGTGTGTGTCCTGCCACGGGGCAGGGAGGGGGCGCAGTGCAGCTGAGCAGCAGTGGGACACGCATGGCGTTGTGCCACTTCCGGGGCAGTGGCGCGCAGAGTCCAGTGCGCAGTGGCAGCCACCTCTGCCCTGCACACAGGTCTCAGGGGGGCACATGCCCCCCAGGCCTCTGCTGGGGTTCGCACAGTAGCAGGAGTCCCCCTGCACCCCTGGACAAGCCATCTGGGCTCCGACTGTCCCACCACCTGGCTCAGCTGGGGCCCCATTCACCCCAGCCCCTGCCTCTGTCCCACTCCCACCCTCAATATGGGGGCCTCACAGAACAAACATACTGATACTTGCCTGTTGCGCTGGACAGCTAGTCATCCAGAGGCTGGGCTGCAACCTTGGCTGTGCGCACCCCTCTCCACTCTTGCCGCAGCTGCCTGGAGCCCATGGCCAGGTTTCTTTGCGGCCCTACCTGCTGCCTCACGCTTGAAGGGGCTGAGCCCCATTAGCCCAGGCCTTTCACGGCCTATGGGTGCATGTCAATGGCCAGGTTCATCATGGAGTTGAGCAGGGCTAGGCCCAGGAAAGAGTTGGCGTGAGGTATCACTTGGTGGGCACCCCAGGCATCCAAAAGGAGGAGGAAGAAGAGTGGTTGCCAGCAGGTGAGGAAGTCTCCCACAGCAGCCACTGGCAACCTTGGTAGAGCAGTCCTGGGGCCAGGAGAGCAGGTAGGGCTGGACATGGATGCTGGCAGGAGCTGGCCTGTGAAAGAAGGTGGGGGAGGGATCAGTGCTATGCAAAAATCAGGCCTTTGTCTTATGGGACCCCCCTGACAGACTCCCCTAGGCAGTTCCTTCCCCCCAGCCTGAAGCCCTCAGGCAGGGCTTGGCCCCCTGTTAGTCCCCCCCAGACAGGGACTAGCCATGCCACCCCTCCACCACACGTCCTCTGCTTCTACCTGTAGCTGCTTCCTGTGCAGTAAGTGGGAGGGTGCTTTCCCATGCCCCTGCAACAGGTAGGGCTTGCCCCCCACCCTCCTGACTGCCATGCCCCAGGCAGCACCTGCCCCCCTCCCCCTCCAGACACTGCCCTCTGCTCCTTCCCCAAGCTATTTGCTGTGCAAGGTGGGTGGGGTTTGCTTCACACCCCACAACAGCCAGGTAAAGCTGCACCTGCCCCAGTGCCCTGCCTGGGAACTCCCACAACCCCTCCTCCATCTCTGCAAGGCCTCCATGTCCTCTGTTCCCCCACCCCCAAGAACTTGTGGGACAGTACTGGGGGTCCAGCTGCCTATAGTGACTTTCCCTTCCCCACAATCCTGGTCTCAGGCCAGTTGTGGGGAGGATGCCAGGCACTCCTCCCTGTAGCTTGTGGATGGCTGCTGGGGGCAGGGGGGTGAGATGGGTCCAGGGCGGAGGGAGAGTTGACAGAGTGGGGAGGCCCATGGATGGAACCTCTGGCTGGGGTGGGAAGCACTTGGCAAGCAACCAGGTGGGGCAGAGATGTGCAGACACACACAGGGACACACAGCTGCCTCCTGCTGTTAACTAGGGCACTCCTACCATGGGCCCCACTTACCTCCCAGCACTGTGCTGGAGGAGTCTGTCGGGTTCTTCGGCTCTTGCGCATCTCTGCCAGAGAGCTGTCCCACATGTATGCACACATGCAAGCACGCACATACATGCACAGATGTGGACAGACATACATATATATGCTCTTAGTGCCTTCTGTCTACTGAGTTTCCCTAGATATGCATGCCCGCACACACAACAAGCATGCAGCTGCATGTGCTCATGTTTGTGTGTGTGTATACCACATGTGCACGAGCGTGCGTGTACACACACACACACACACACACACACACACACGATACTGTAGCAGAAAGCCCCCTTTTCCTCTTGCTTGCATTTGCTCTCCCCTCTTCGAATATGTTTTTCCTCTTCTACCTTTTCTTCCTTCCTCTTTCTTTCACTTTAAGATAAGGAATTGTGTTTTAAAATTTGTGTGTGCGCATTTTGTATCTCCCCATGTATTTTGGTATTTTTATCTATTTGTGTGCCATGGCATTTGTAGCTTATATTTTATACTACTCCTCACCTTTCAACTAAATGTGTTTAGTTTCATAAGCAGACAAGGTTCCTTGGGTGAATTTATATCTTATATTAGACCAACATTTAGTTTCATAAGTAAGTTATACATTGTAACAATGTTAACAAGGGCAGGAATCAAACTGCCCTTCCCTGTATCAGGCTGGCCCCTGAAAGAGCGAGTGAATCAGTGATTGAATGTGTAACACGGTAGCAGGCAGCAATTAACACCTAAGGAAACTGCAGATCAACCAACAGAAGAACTCAGTAGAAGTCAATGTAACGACCAGGAAATCTCTAAATGTCACTGATCAAGGGCTAGAAGCCCTGCCCTGAGTTAATCAATGCCAGGGACCAACTTTTGGGCTGAATATCTCCAGATCGACCGCTCCCAGACCCCTATTCAAAATTAATCAACGGACTCCCAAACCTGCACGTACACGCGGACAACCCCTGGGGCTGACAGATGCCATCCAGTAGCCACCGAGGGGGGAAGTCCCA